CCTCCGTGCAGAATGCAGGCAGCTTATTTGATTTGCCCCCCCCGCTCCAGAGCCCGAGCCTTTTGCTGTTTTTAAAACAGAGAAAAAAGGAGCAAGACGGTGTATTTAACTCCTTAACTGCCCTTTCCATGGAAAGCTCTTGGCCCTGATGTCCAACCATGGATATGAGTCCTCACCTGGCCAAGAAAATGGGATTCAGAGGTGGGAAAAGGCTGGCAGGGAACGACCGGGAAAATACAGCCTGTCCCATGCAACCGCGGCGGCGTCCTGAGCCCGAGGCTTGGTGGCAGTGAGGCGGTGGGGCACAGGGTGGCTCTGCCACGGCTTCGGCTTAGCGCCACGAGCTGATCGCTACGTGTGCCAGGTCGCGGTGCCACGACCCGGGAATGAAATACAACAATAACTTGTGCTCCGCACCCGCACGGCGTTCCAGCAAATGGACTATTCTTGCTCTGGTTAAGTCGGGAGACACGGATGCTGTGCTCTGTCCCCTCTCCCCTGTTTTGCCCGGATAAATGCCATCGGGTGGGGACGACTCATGGGCACTACAAGTGGGAGGCGGGGAAGGATTTGCACCCCCCTGGGATTTCATGTGCACCCCCTGGGACTTGTTTAAGGGCCTGAATCAGGAGATGTGTCTGCATTTGAAACACGCAGAGCTCCTCGAGTGGAGAAACAGCTTAAGATGTGCTCCCAGGCAGGGGCGTTTAATGGACCAAGTGGTTTGATGGACCTTCTGACCCTCCTCCTGGGTGGTTTGAGGGCTCTGACGTCGCACATGGTGGAGCTCGGGGGCTTGGGCAGCCTCAGGGCTGGCTTTGCGCTGGGAGCGCTGCAGTACCTACACCGAGACGTTGGTGCCTCTGTCTCGGTGGCTGCGCACACCTAGGTTGTTGGGATGGCAACTGGGATAATCACTGGCAGCTGCGCCATAGCTTTCTGCCGACGAATCGTGTCCAGACCACAGTGAGCTGGAGACACCAAAGCCCACGAGGCTCCAAGAAGCTGCAGAACAGAGACCTCGGGTCTCCCAGCTCAGTGGTGCCGCCAGGAGGGATGGTGGCAGCATCGGTGCTGCCTCACGGACCCTCTCTGTGCCATTTGTGCTAACCCACAAGGGAACACGAGTGGCACCCGCAGCTTGTGTTGGGGGGGGAAATCCTTGAAAAGTGGAGGAGATCGTTGAGGTAATGGAGACAGGTTCCACTTAAACTTACCATGAACCCTGCTTGTCGCGCCGTACCTTACGTGCGTGCGGGGCTGTTAAAAGCTGATCCTCCTTGACTGAACACCGTAGAGCTGACCGCGGCCTGACTCGCTTCCCTCTCGCCTCTCCAGGGCTCCTCCTGGCAATGCTGGCCGCGCAGCTAGGTCGCTGCTCCCATACATAATGCACGGCCCGGCCTGCAAGAAACTTTCCACAAAGAGCAGTGGCTCCAGTTGCATGATTTTAAATTAACTATTAATACGGCTGATACCGTATCCCCTTGAAAACAACAGCACACACCAGACGGCGGCACAGGTTGTGTATCACGTTACTTACCGTGGCCTTTATCAGCCTCATGTAGCTGGTCACAGCGTGGGGCACCTCCTGAAGGTCTCTGGGAGATGATCTGTACAGAGGGAAGGAGAGGTGGCCAAGCGGGAGGCTTGCATTTAGCTCTCAGCTAAGCTGAGATGCGTGCAGCGAGGCTGGTAATGGTGTCCTTGAAACCAAGGATGAAGCTCCTGCGTGTGCTGAGTCGGGGCACGACAGGCTTGCTGGGGTGGCGTCATGGCTGAGGCGATGAAAGCTGCTGGTCCCTTCTTTAGAAAAAAACAGCAAACTGAATGAAACAAAACCAAACTTGACACAAATCAACCCAATCCAACTGAATCAGGCCCAGCCCAACCCAGCCCAACCGAAGCCAACCCAAAGTAACCCAACCCAGTCCAACCAACCCAGTCCAACCCAGTCCAACCAACCCAGCCCAACCAAAGCCAACCCAACCTAACCCAACCCAATCCAACCAACCCAATCCAACCCAACCCAACCCAACCTAACCCAACCCAGCCCAGCCGAAGCCAACCCAACCTAACCCAGCCCAATACAACCAACCCAGCCCAACTGAACCAGACCCAACCCAGCCCAGCTCAACTGAACCAGCCCAATCCAACCCAACCCAACCTGAGCCAGGAAGGCCCAGCTCAGCTCCAGGCCACCTGAGGAGGGCAGGGCAGGGGAGGCCGTGCAGCCTCCGGCCAGACAGCGGGGCATACAGCCCCGGGGGCGGGCGGCCAGCCCCGGGGTGCCCGGGGGAACG